CCCCCCCCCCCCCCCCCCCCCCCCCCCCCCCCCTTCTACCTTTCACCGTCCGTCATCCATCCTGCCGGTTGCTTGGTCTCTTGCTTTTTATCATATTTTGCGTCGAAGAGTGGTAAGGACACAGCTAGGGAAAAAATTGTTTACAGTTTCCTCTGAAAAGTGCAAGTCTAGTTAAAGGGTGTTTCAAAGAGCTAGGTAGGTGTTGAACAGTGGTGGAACGATTCACGCATCTTCCTTGAATGCGCTAAATATACCGTACACCCGCATCCCTTCAGGATTCCTCAAAATAACTGATTGTAGGAACTGCAGTTGTAGGAAATACTGTATCATGGTATGAGCACGTCTCTAGGTCTCTTACAAATTGAAGACCCATTAAAGAGATCGTGAATGGTAAACGTGTAGACGGGGCCCAGGGTGTTGGGGGAGTGGTAACAACGGAATGACGAAAAATCATGGAAAACCGCTATATTTCTACTTCACTCTATTGATGGGCACACCGATGAATGGCATGTGCGACGATTTCACTACAGTTGTCATCCCTAGATGAATTGGAGAAAACTGATACATCAGAAATTGATCGTTTTTCATCCGCATCAAACCAGCCTGGGACACAATATCAAAGATCATCTCCCATATGTCTCCATGTATGTTCTTCGCTACAGTGTCCCACGCTGGTTTTGTGCATATATGGCTTCATAGAGGATGCGGGGATGGAAAAAAGGCTAAACAAGCGACCTAGGTGCGTAGCTGAATATGGCTGCAGGAATCGCTGTAATTGATGGGACCTTCACATGCTTATTAAAAGTTTTTCTGAGAAATAAATTTGTTGTTAATGTTGCAATGACGTAAATGAGTGGAGCCTAATAGCAACATATCGTTCTGTTTTTGGACTGAAATGAAACAAGAAGTCACGTACATAGAACACCAAGATCAGAAGGTGTTTGACGGTTTCGTAACTTTTTAGATCAATTGAAAAAACAATTCCATTTTTTTCATCAGTCCCGTGAATATAGCAAAACCTGTGATTTCCCTCTTTTGAGCCGATTTCATGTGTGACCATGAACAAAAACAAGGAAGACCAATTTGTTAGTATTCGTAGTCACGTCACCAATCAGCGTCTCTCATTCCTCCTTGCCGAAGGTGTCATTGATAGCAACATGACCTTTTACGGACTTCAGTGACAGTTCTTTAATCGATCCTTTGTATGGCGGTCTACCTGTATGGGATTACATTCAGGGAAGTTACAGGCCTTTGTCGGTTCTACCACTCCGTCAGGATGTCGAGAACGTGACGGATAATTGCAGAATTCAGTCCAGACCAAGGTGAGTCGTAGATTGTTTCCTGATCAGTGAATGTCTATGGTGTAGGAGGTGAAGGTGACCTAGACAAAGGCCTATTGATGCTTTTAAATAGTCACGTTCAATACATATCTGAATGTCAGTGTGATTTCGAATGAACATCCTTGACCTGGAATGTGACTGAACCGTGCTGTTATACGCGAGGTTCGGGTTTATTAATTGCCTTCGTTAGCCCGCCTACCTGAATCATTACTGCCCAAATTAACTTGAATTCTATGATGTTGAATTTTTAGAAAGAGAAGGCATTGACCACGAAAATGCCGTATGAGAGGACATACTTTCGCTTTCGAATACGGCCCTCTTTAACCTTTTCCCAGAAAGGACCCCTGACGAAGACTTCTTAAGCCTTGACGAGACCTCTACTGATAATGACACTTCCCGCGCGGTTTGATAGTTTTTTCTTGGTTTCAGACGAGCACGAGATTGCGGCCCCTCGCAGGGCGGCGGGAAGAATGATCGTCGAGCGAGCCGCCAGCGACGGCGTTGCATGAAGTGACGCGTGTGGTTTGCTGACGTCGGCTGTGTGTTAGGTGCGATGAAGTGAGCGGCTAGCGACCGCCTGGCCGATGGATTTAACGGTGATCGAGGCGACCAAGTGAGAGGGGGAAGGGGTGTTGGACGGGAGACGGGTTCGCCGTCGAACCGACGGTATTGACTGACGTGGAACACTCTCACGCTCTGTCGCCGGCTGCCCCCGTCTCTCCTGTCAGCCAGCGCCGACGCTGCGTCTCCGCACGCAATGTACGTTCTCGTGGCCCGTCTAGACGCAGCAGTCAGGCGCCGCTACCATCCTCCAGTGTTCTCACACAACCCAGACGATGGCCGCTGCCACACAGGATGCTACACTTACCGCCGATCCACTACTCTATCGACTACCGGAGTTTCCGTCAGGTATGCTCCTAATACAGAGATCAGTTGAAGAGTTGTTTTGAGAATGAAGAACGTTCTTAAAGAATGGATTTATCATTCGTAATTTTTAAGCGATCCCTATAACACCAGGACCTGCGATGAGTCCCCGTGAGTCTGAAGGTATCGCTGCATGGGTTACCATCAGTGGGTACGTCGTTTTTGTTTTCGCTTTTCCCAAGTCACTTCCGTGTCTTTTGTCCTTTGTGTTTGTGAACAATAATGAAAACACATTGGATTGGCTATTAGCCTCAAGTTCGAAGTCTTAGTCACTCTCACATTCAATCCGTTAGGAAAAACTACTCAGGTCCGATTCCTCCGTTCTCTGAAATGGACCACGCGTGAACGTATTGATCTCTGTTCTTAGCTTTTAACGCCTGCGCTGTCAACTCAGTGGACGAACTCCGAGTGCGTTGTGACGAAGTGAACACCTAACGCGAACGCTGCTTTAGCGTCATCAGGGATTTGGTGTGACGATTTTCTACCGCAAATACTTTTTAGCCAGTAGTAGCAGTCACGTACTCCACCGTGGGTGGTCTGCCTCCGTGGTTATTCACTTGTCAGTGGTGGGGCAAACATTTTGTAAAAAGTTTACACCGAGAGCCGCACTTATAAAATACGCATAAAATTACGTATTCAAGAGAAGTCCGAACAAAGCTCGCAATTTTAAAGTTGTCGAAAATGAGATGAAGGTGCCACGTTGATCTTTGTGATGCGGCTTTTACAGGGACGCTATGGTCGTGGCATTGTCATTAGCTTCTTTCAGAATTATATTTTTAAGTGCAGTCTCAAGTCAGCGATGTATTACATAGAGCTGTGTTTCAGTATAGCTCACCATGCCGTTGGTACTGGGAGCGGTAATGAATTTAGCGCGCAGGGTTGTGGTTGCTTCAGCCCAAATTTTTTCAATGTTGGGCTGGGAGACATTCTCAGCGCTTCGGCTGAACAACGCGGCAAAGTGGTAATATTCCTCAAAAATTCCTAGAGTTAAGCTTTCCAAAAAAAGAGTTTGATATTTTTTCGTCTAGGGTAGAGGTTAAGGAAGGGAAATGCAGCACATTATCGACGTCATGAATCTTTGAATACTGAGGTATCTTAGTGTCAAGACCGTGGGACACATCAAATGTCTGCGCAGCATGACGCGAATTACTATTACTTCAATGTGTAAAGTGTATGAATTTTTACAAAATTCCATAATGCCATCGTTGGGAGCGCACACGAGGGCAGAGTTTTTCTTACATTTTTCGTGGCGATTTTCTGATGCTGATCCTTCAGTAGCAGCTTTCGATTCTTGCCATTTCATATAAGGTTCTCGATCTTCTTTCAACTCAAATTTCATCAAGCTGGTAGGTACTTCACAACTGCTAAAGGAGGGGGCGAACATACATATCTCCGCACCTGTTTACCGCAAAGAATTCTTTGTTGTTCTAAATCCACTTTTCATCTTGTTATTCGAATAGTCCACCGATCCTTCATGAGGAAGGAACTTTTCACCGTATTACCAACCGAGGTTTTGAGCCCCAAAAGTACAATCGTATTCTGAATCTCGTAGATTTCCGATAACAAAGTACTTTGTACTTTATTTTCCTTTCTTCCCGTAGGTACACTGATTCTATTTCTTTTGAATTTTCTTTGTTGTTGTTGTTGATGTGTGATGTTCAAATTTTTATTTTGAGCTTACGCCCATAAGGTTCTTGTAGTGATCATCACGACCGATATATTCTCGATTACAGTCCAAGACAGTGAAATCGTTAGTGTAGGGGTTCAACTGGTATGACACTTATCATGACCACTTATAGTTAGTATGGTTGTTCCGCCTTTCATATGATTGATGATGAGGGTTTCGTTGCATTGTCGTGGAAACGGCTTGCCTCCTTATCAGTACGTTGAAAGGTTTTGCCGGGGCCTGAATGACTTTAGCTTTGCCATTACTTTCGATAATGTCAAAATTGGCTGAGATAGCGGTTGATATCGAATAAAAGCGCATTATTTTATGTGCCACGTTTGAAGAAAGAGCTTAGCAAATGGAGCTTGTTGCAAAATTGGTTGCACGGACATGATTGAGTGATCTGGTTTTTCTCCCGGAATTTCCTCGCATAGGATGGTCGATACGCGGTAAATGGGCAAGGAAATGTTGTCTGTAGGCTATGTTTTACTTCTATTTCGCCTTTAAAGGCTTAAAACGAGGTTTTGGGTGCTTTTTTGATAATAAAATTTTTCTAACACCTGTTTTTTGAACGTAGCTCAGGATGGGCCATGCATTGTAGTTTCACAAGAAATCGTAACATCCCCTTAGAAATTCTATCTTCTCGTACTGTAGTATTGCCATTGACTGTGAATGTTTGGTTGGACATCGTACGAATCGATCCCCCGTGAATTGTTGTGAGACGTTCTCCGTGGTGATGCGTCGTCGGTGTCTAGCAGGTTAGTGCAGGGCAAACGTTAACTATATCATAACATGAGTTGAAAAACAGCAGCATTAATCCTGTGAATAAGTATAGTTACAATAAAACTAGCAAAAAAATTTTTTTTTCTAATTTCAATATTAACATCAATTTATTGATTTGGATTCTTTGAATCTAAATTTAATGAGCACGACGGAACCACTTCCTGGTCTGTAGGTTTCTGCCCCCCACATACTTCCATTCATAGTTTCATGTGATATAGTTTCCAGTCGTGATGTTTTACATTCTGGAAGGCTTGAGAAGTGAAGACGTTCTGAGAGCATGGGAGATACCAGCTATGATTATTTAAATGAAATGAATATACTTTTTTGTAATTTCACTATTACTTTATGAGTTCGACACACTAGCTCTAAGAGCTTATTAGCTCCACCGCGAAAATACAAGAGAACTAATTTAGAGGTTCTGACTAGTATGTTAGCTCTGATAGATATAGTAGATTCCTTCAATTTTAACTAAAGAACTATCAAAAATTTTTCTTCGATCCTTCTCATAAACCAGTAACATGTGTTCTTCGCTGCACCCGATTCTCTTGGGTTTTTCTTTTCTGCAGAGGTCACGGTATCATTGAACATCGAGATTGGGGCACGGAGAATTTAATTCCCTTTTTTTTGGGATGGTGGTGATTGGAAGCCAACTTCTCTATACTTATTGCATAATGAATAGAAAAGGGAAGGGACTCGGAGGCCGATAGTAAAGGCTTTCGTGTCATTTCTATTTTTTATCACCTGTTTGCTTCTTGGTCTACTACCACCAATCAAAGATCCATTCTGAAAATTTTCAGCGTTCCTTTTCCCGCTATGGTTCTGGGAGGTGAACCGCGTGTGCCTATCCATCTTTTACTAAGTCGAGTCCTATTCACGCAAGGTGTTAGCGAAATCCAAGCAATGATGGGTGAGTACGCAGTCGATTTTTCATTTCAATGGATTTTTTTGAAAGCCATTTGAATATTCTAATTGTTTTTTTTTNTTTTTTTTTCAGATGACTTGAATATTCATAAGTCAATCGCGACGAATGAACAAGCAGAGAGTTTGCGCAAAATGGATGCGGAAGTATCAGGCACTCAAGACATGTCCAATCTGAATCTGGTAACTCGGTCAGATGCAGAACGAATATGCGGTATTGTTCGGATCGAGAGTACCCCTTCGACGATTGAGGAGCCTATCGCGTGTGTTTCTTTGTTTATGGCATTTTTTTAGAACTTATTTGTTTAAATGGCCTCCTAATTACTGCGAAAGCCGTATTTCGGGTCTTTACCGTAGTCAATTACGGTATTCCATGCGTGAGGAAATACTACGACCGATTTACATACTGAAGTCTAGTCATAGCCAAGACTTGTTTGAAGTGTGCTTTTTCAATTTCCTACTCCAAAATACTGTGTAAACACAGTTATAAATTCTGAATTCCTAAACCTTTCTCTTGGACACTTGAGGATTTGTTTGCTTTGGTTGGTACTGGAGATATTACCACTGAAACGTGGGTAGGTTTGCTCAATCAGCATTTTGGCTTCCTTGATCAGAGATCAGCAAATGGTGATCTTTCATTAAGCATGACTGTAAACCAAACTGTGCGGCAATAGGCGTGCAAAGATGTCATAAAAAAGTAAAACAAGCGCTTTCCTCTGCACTCATGGCATGTGACCCGTGACTGAAATGGCTTGTGTCGTTTTCACTGCTTTTGGCATGCTTTTTGATCAGCAGAGTCATCGAACTGATATTTATAGCTGCACATCTTCCAATTATCGAATTCCAAGTTTTCTGGCGTAATCCGTAGTCACCATTGAGAATATTTCCATCTCGTCTGGAATCCTCGTTCCCAATTTTGTCGTTTTGATTCTGCCCTTCTCCTGCATTGATCAATATCTTGCCGTCTCACTAGGAATCGTTGTACTCGCACGCATTTTTTCCCACTTCAACACACTGCCCTTTCCCTCTCCCACTAACCAAGAAAACATGGTATGAGTGTGAAAAAATAACGATTTTCCGTGCTACGAGCTGTGCGTTTTGCGAAGGGAATAGAATTCTTCGCCAATCATACGGTAATTTTGAGCGGTTTCATGTTATCTTCTAAACAATTCAGTTTGTCTTTAATTTAAAAAGAAACTACTCATTCAAGCTATTTTTATTATAAGTGGGATGTAGGGAAATTGTGAATTATGTAATACGTCTCGTGACCATTTTATTGCAGTGAGCTCTCTGCTTTGCTTAGGTAGGCATTTTGTTTATGACCATCCAGTGAAAGTGCACTTTCCTCCTTCGAGGGACTCTGATTGACCGACGCCAGTATCAACTTTCTTGAATTATAAATTTTGTTATAGTGCTCATCGATTTTTTTCCAATGAATGGATTGAATTCAAAGAGAGAGTTTCAGAGATGAGTCCGATCGTCTCTCCGTACAACATGCTATGTTTGGAACCGTAAAAGGTTGGGCTTATCCATCACGAAAAGGTGGCAGAAGCGTTAGATGTCAGGAGTGTGGATTCTTCTTTACGCCACAAGACTTCGTTGCTCACTCCCACAGCGAGAAAAAGGAGTCGCAGAGGTAGACATTTTCATATCGATTTTCCTTTTGCTGCAACGGCCATGTGCTCGTTATGTTCTCTTGTTTTCCCTTCTTATCACTCTTCTTCTTCTCCTACCACTTTTCATGAATTAATCAAGTTTTTATGGAAGTAATTGAAAAATGTTTGTTTTCCAGAACAGTGCACTGGGGTTTTGATCCATCTAATTGGCGTCTCATGTTGGAATTAGCAAAACCTTCTTCCGAATGCAGTATTAGCAAGGAGAGGTGGAAAGAATTTATTGATGAGCCCACTATTCAATCATGTGGTATCTCGGAAAACTGCGACGGTTTTTTAGTCAACAAGGCCAAGCGATCGCTCATTGATCAATCTTTGGTTAGTTCGTTGGTGTTTTGGATACTTAGACATTTGCATGTATTTGGAAAGTAGAAAATTTTCATGGAATAATTGCATATTGTCATCATAATTTACAGGAAGTTCCGCCCAAAATACTACGAATCAACAATGATCACGCCAATATTGAGAAGCCATTACCTATCTTCTCGGATCCGTCTACTTCATCCAAACTGTATTTAAGTAACAATTTCGATCGATTTCTTGATCCGAAATCGACTGATCCCCTTGCATTGATTGAAGAAGTCATCCGAAAAGAAACCGCGTTCAAAGTCAAGGTTCGTTTTTCATTTTGCCGCTATGTATTTCTGTGTGTTCTACTTTTTGCGTACGATTTACCATGCCTTCGAAAAGTAATATAAAGGTAGTGTTGGATTAAGATCAAGGGAACCTACCGTAAACCCTGTACTTATATAAGTTCCCGCTTGACATTAGACGGGATTGTGGCGGTATAGTGCAATTCTACGGCTAGGTCAAACTTCTCAATCGCACTGTTCCAAAAAAATTCGACAAGCTGCTTCACAGAACATTGCAAAACCTCAGCTTGGCGTATGCTCAATTCGAAGGTGTCCTCATGACTCGATTTGATTGGACCAATTCTCTCTTCCTTAGAATAATTGTTCTTTCGATTATTGTTATATCGCTTCGCTTCGAATATCTCTTTAGAGATATCAGTTCATCTTTTCATTTCTTATACCCATAATCCTCTCTATGTCAAACTTCACTCCCGTCAATTTCTTAATTATCAATGAACCCCTGTCAACGCTCACAGCGCGAAAGCTCCTTGTCCTCTTGATGAGATTGATCAGGCCCTGTTCCTCGCCAGTGATTGTATGCTGTGTTGTTTCCCGAGTAACAAAGCTAATAATACCGCGAGTTATATTTGCTGTTTGTTCTAATACTGCACGGTATTAATAACCACAACCTAGCTGCACGTCAGTGAAAGCAGCTTTGAACCTTCTCTGATCCTTGTTGACGCACGCAAGTTTGTGGGTTAGGCAGCACACATTATAGAAAGTGCCGCGATGAACTCCCTTCCCCTCCCTCCCCCACCTCGGTAGTGTAAAGTTCAACGCTTCTCATATTGGTCCTGTTTCGTGGAATAGTGCAAAAAACACCTAGCAGTGTGTTAAGGCAAAGCAATTTCAACACAGCCCTAATGGAGTAAAAATCTGTGTTTCTGTAGACTCTATCAGCCCATACTCTGAACGTTGAACTCTTTTCAATGGAACTTGAAGCGTTTTCTTAAGTGCCTATCCGCGATCAACGGGCCGAACCCTACTGGTGGGCAACTTATTTCTCTCGAAGACCAACCAAATGCAGTCGTTCCTCATCCCAGTACTTTCAAGTCAGTGGGCGAAGCTGTGAAAGACATACAGACAAACTGTGAGCGATTAGGCAAGTTTCCTATTGAGTTTTGTTTTCTGTTGAACAGAAATTTTTCATATGATAGTTTGAAAGAAAGTTTGTTTCTCTTATAGAGGCGCTAGAATCTGTCCTCAAGCGGATGTCAACCAATGTTAGTCCCACTATAACGGATGCCCTCTCTGAAATTCGATTGTCACTTATGAAGGTAACGTCTCGCTTTTTACCTTTTTTGTTTCCTCTCCCATGCTTTGGCTTATTGATAACCTACTTTCATCGATATTACTCTATTATTGACTTTGCTGGCACCATCGTTCCGGGTCCAGCTCTCACGCTAACTGCTTTTTTTCGGTAGTGGAACTCCTCCAAGGGTGCGGTTGTTTGTGCGCGAAAGATCTGTCACAGCCGGGACAAAGTTGATGTGGTTTTGACATTTGTGTTCCATGATCCAGCGTAGTTCTAAGTGTTATTCTCTTTAGGGTTTCCACAAAGGCCAAACAATGTAACATTGAAAAAGGTTGAAAAAGCATCATCCGCAGACATGGGTGTTTGTGGAATTCTCTGGGGAGTAGCATGATATTATTGCTACGCTCAATTTTGGGGAAAGGGTACGTGAGAAAGTTGCAATACGAGCTCGAGTCCTCTTGAACAAAGTCGAAGAAATAAATGCAATTATTGCAGAAATTGATTATCTTCATGTGGGCCGTAAATAATCGTGGCGCTTTTTTTCTGACATGTTTTGTCAATTTTTACCCTTTGAAATTGGTTTTCGGCATTGGCGTTTGTCTCTCTAGCTGGCCGTGAGCTATGCAGTTGTTAAAACAACAGTGATGTTCTACGATTTCGGGATGCGGAGAAATTTGTTGTCAGTCGGTGCACGCATAGATACCGATCGGTTGCTGTCCTCTGTTAGCATAACATTAGGATCGTGCGGTTGATTATTGGAATGTTTCATATAATTCACGAGAAAAATGAAGTCGTGGAACCGTGCGTGTGGAATGAGATCTCGCGAGTATCTCGTATATGTTAGGTATGGGAAGGGATCCATGTTTGCAGCAGGTGTGCAGATACAGATAGGACACAGACATTGCCATGTCAACACAATCAGTCCTACATGGCTCCGACCACGACATATTGAAACAAAGGCGCAAAACGAAGTCAGCGAGGGGGCGAGGAGAGGGGGAGGGAGGTGATGCATCGGTCCACAGGTTGCAGTAACATGGAACTTCTTCATGATTTATATCTTATTCGATTGCGGAAATTTTTACACTGATATTTTAAGGGCAATCTGGCAGAGTACGAGCGATTGCGGCTGGCTTATGAGTTCCTGTTCACGCTGTACCGGCAGCTATGTGACCCATTCGGCTACAGCAATGACCCTTTGATGCAGGCGTCTGTTGCAAAAATGCGAGCAGATCATATTGCTATGGGAATTTCGGCGGATTTAAACGATTCCTCACGGACTCAAGCCCTTGCAGATTTATCACAGGTTCGTGTTTTGGAAAACTAATTAGTACTATTCGTCAATTACTCTTTCTGATTGCAGCAGCAAGCGAAATTGGCATCACTCGATCAATTTGGAAGTGTCCCGAAGATGCCAGTTCCGCTGCCATCCTTTCCCACTGCACCGGTTTCGGCTGATTCACAACTACTACAACATTTATTCGCACAACAACTAATGCAATTAATGGCTGCACCACAACTAACGCAATAAGTGGTAACATATTTGTTTCGGGTCGTCTCTCACACAGTAAAGTGCATAAGGCTACGGCCACGTACTGGTATCGTCGATAGTCCCATCATGAAAATCTCCAGCTTTCGTGTTCTTCATTCCCTCATATGTATTTATATGTATGTACTTCCAGAGTGTTTATGTACATTAATTTAGTGAGATTCAATTAAGTTTAACGAGATTCTCATATACCCTGTATTTTTTTTCCTCTGAAATGTGAGATGGTAATCATGTGTGGGGTGATAGTAGTGAAATAAACTACCGGTAACTGCCAACATTGTGTCGACTAACAGTTGCAGATTGATATAAAAGGAAGAGCACACTTGGTAAGACCGTCTCTAGCTGAACAATAGTCTTAAGTATCTACAAAATGCGACTTTCGCGTGAGGACCACCTTACTAAAGTTGGCTGTACAGGAAATCACATGCTGTTTGGGTAAAGTGTTGTGGGCTGCACGGTATGTCTAGAAAGAATGGTTCTCTGTTTTGCTTGAAACCGGCGTAAAAGCATTTGAATGAAAACCAGGTTCACACACTGTTATAAAGTTTTCTAAGCCACTCATTTTTCAACTCAATGCGGCAGCTTATTAAAAGTTACTGTGTTGTATTTACTTCTACATACTACTACCCTTTTCCGCAATGGATGACGGATTGAATATTAAATAGTGATTCCAAAGATCATTTGCATTCTTTAGTTTCGATATGGATTACTCCCACATTTGAACTTTTATAACTTAGCAGTCATGGTTGATGGGAAGAGCGTGTAGACCAACAGGCCAAATGTCTGTAACCAGACGTTTTATGGGTTGCGATTCGGAAAAAGGTCAGGAAATGAGGGATCCCTGGGATTCGAAATGGTGACGACTTCCACAAATAGTGAAGCCTCGTTATAGCTTTCTGTTGGCCTCTTGCAGGTTTCCGCAAGATATTCATACTATACACACCACCATTTTACTGTTTGTTTACATCCTAACAAAATGAAGAAAAAACACGGGAGCAACCTTTATCAAGGCTTTAACACGTTCCATTCACCGAGTTCACAGAAAACGTTCCCAATAAGACATCAGTAATTGATACGTAAGTAACCACTGAGACATAAGAAGAAGTCTTACCCGTATGTCATTTTCTCAGGGTATTTCAATCTATGCTGCTCATTTACAAGATCTATACTAGTTAGATTTTCCATCGGAGATGCGAAGGAAGTCTCACCGCAGAGGATTTTACAGGGTAACATTAACGAGATGCTCATTTTCATAAAAGTTTAAATGCAGTGAGTTAAGAAGACATGATCAACTATCTAATTGCTTTCGGCAAACTTTGGAGCTAGCCTTGATTTTCGAACACGGTGAGCTCGTGATGAGGCAAAACCACGGGATGGGGGTGTTGCATTTGAAAAACTACTCGAGGTAAGGTCGCCTTCAAGATTCTGTTGAGTTGCGTGAGTTAGTTCGGATGGCTGTTTGCCGCCTCGTCTACGGCGTGGTTTCTTGCATGGAAGTAAGACCTAAAAATACAACTTGTCTTTTGTAATGTCTATTCAGTCATAATCAATTAGCAACTGAAGAAATTCTCCTTCTTGGCAATTCTAATTCTTAGAAGGTGAGACGAACAGAAGAAAGGTCGAAGAATTCGGCAGAAGTCGAAGAAAGAAGAAGAAAGAATTGACATACTGATGAGGGTTTTAAGTCTGTGAGCTTTGGATCATTGGGAGTTTGTTGAACATTAGGTCCATAGAAGCGACCATTTGCTGGCAGTGCACATTGTACAGTTGGAATGGGAACGACGTTCCGCTGGAAAGTGTGATATAAATTAAGGACATTGACAGCAGTCAAAAATTGTACCTGAATGGCAGAACCCCTCCTTCGCTCGCTGCCTCTGTAGACGGCACCTCCTCTTCGCAACAAGAGAGTTCCAAGATCAATAGGCTTGTGTACATTATTCATAGGACTTTGTTGGAGTTTCAGAGTGGTGAACGTCTTTGAAAGATTCTGAAATGAAACATAGAACTTTTTGATGCAATCTTTTCGATAAAGGCATTACCTCGCTCTGGTTTTGGGGGCTTGTTGGGAACAATTTTGTGAAAGCACTAGGTTGTCCGCCCTCACTTAGCACTGGCTGCGAAACCACTTGGTTTTCATTGCACACTTTCTCCGGTAAATTCGCAAAAAGTTTGAGCACTGTTGGTGTTTCCTGTATCTCAAGTATTACTACAACTAAAAATGAAGTTGACCAAGGACGCCAACTAACCACTGCGGCTTCACTATTGGTAGCAATGTTCTTCGACGTTTTTATTCCAAGTAGGCTTGTTAATTCATTTTCCACAGCTTCTTTCTGAAATGACAAATTCGCAATACATTTCGGAGATATCCATCACACGAAAGAAAAATTGAAGATTGAGACCGTGAAGTGACAAGGCATTCTAAAAACTAACCGAAACAACGGCTCCAGTCAAAGCAGGCTGCGGGGAACAAGTGACTGGCTCCGATCCAGCTTTTGGAGCGAGAAGTGTAGCAATAATTGCTGAAACGAACAATGGAAGAATAACATTTTAAGTGAAGGGAACACGATAAGAAGATAAATCCTATAGAACGTTCAGCGTTTCATGCTCATGGTTTCGTGCACCCTATATGCCTAACAAGTAAAGCATAATAAGAACTGAGTTACAAAAAAAAGATATGCTGGTACTGCTGAGGACAATGCGGCCTCGCCATCATTTTGAGAAACTGCGCTCAAGCTCTTATCCAGGTGATGCATGGAGATCAGTAGCCGATTCGAAAACTTAAATGACAGAAAAAGCAGTACATAGATCACAGCACTTCAGTCCTTCGCAAGCGAGAAAAATGATTAAGTGGAAAAATGCGTAAAATTTAAAACAATGATAGGCTAATCATGCGCTTTATTTTTAGTTGAGTTTGAATCACATCAAAAACGCGATTTAATCCACGTTATACGAAATAGGTTGTTCCTTCTCTAGTCAGTCACTAAGTAATGGTTCGATGCTGAAATCTACAAATAACACACCTTTACCAGGGGCAGGTTGTTGAGACTGTTCAGGAGTTAAATGCACGTTTGGTACGACAGGTGGAGATGGACGACTTCCGAACAAGCTGCTCTGAAACATGGCATGTCAATGAGTAGCCATCTGGCAGCAATGAATTTCGGACCTTTTGAATGCCGGAAGGAGTGTTTTCTTTGCTTTCTTTGCCTGCAACCAAACGTTTCCCAATCTTTGCACGTAAGCTGCCATTTTCTCTTTGCCGCTTCAGTTTTTCTTCTGGTTGTATGGAGCGCCCTTTCCGCGTTTTGCCGTAAGTGATGTTTATTAGAGAAGTTTTTGGAACGCAGGCGCCACTGTTCCTAGCGCCTCTGAAAAAGACTGGATTTGACACAAATGTGGTCTGCGATATCAATGCTTACCACGTCTCCTACAAATTTCACTATTTAATTATTCATCCTTGTAAATATGCTTCCAAAATTTTCATTTGAAAGTAGCGTTCATGCTACCGTAGCCATTATGTCAAGTGCACTATACCACCATGGCAGTCCGTCACTTTAAACACAGTATGCTTGAACAATGTCTGACTTCTGATGGATAGCGGAAATATGTCTTACTGACTAAAGGAAAGTGGCAGATTATAAAAGAACACGTCATCGGACCAATTTCAGAACTTTGATGGCTGTCTGACTCGCATGAAAAACTCTCAAAACCGTCCAGGTTTCAGCATAAGCGGTAAACAGCTTCCGTTTACCTGATCAGAATTTTACAAAAACCACTACATGATATATGCAATTGGCTCCGTGATTTTTAATGAACTCCTTCATAAATCAGGAATTAAACATCGAACGACCCCGAGAGCTTCCATCGATAACAGTATAACTTCTTTCCCTTCATTGATTTACCTGATTTTATATCCACCATTGAATTCGAGATCGAACAGAACATCAACTTTCCCGGACGATAACCCCACCACTGTTCCTTGAGATCCAAACGGAACCGTAGTTCCCTAAAAGCAGAGAACAAAATTGTGACTATATAGAGGAAATCAATGATCAATTTGGCGATCGCACAGTACCACACACGTGATTTCGAACAGACTATTCGAATCAACAGCTTATAAATTGAAGGAATTTCCGCTTCCAAGGCAGCTGTCGACTAATGCCGATGCAATTGACTAACCTGTAAAGTGTAGACCACGCGATCTAACAACATAAAGTCAGCGTCTGGGTCCGCACAACCCTTTCCTCCATACAGCTCCGCCTGAACGCATTATTTACCACTCATTACATTGAAGAATACATGTAACTAGAAGTGAACATTGGAACAACAAGCAATGTTTGTTTAAACTTTGAACCAGCCGAGGCTGATAGTGAAAAACGCTGCCAGACATACCCTGTACAGAACACTTGGATTGATGGCGCATTTTCGGAATCCCCACCGCTTTTTTGGTACATCTTTGATGGCGTTCTCTATGTGACCTGAAATACAGGAAATGAACGCTACATACGAGCAAGCCAAAAGCAGCGTTGCGAACTGAGAAAAAAGCAGTCGAAGGAGCAGACCAACATAAAAAATATACCTACCTACAACGAAGCGGTCAACATACTGTGTTCCACCTTCTTGTTTTTCGATACTGCACGTTGGAACATTGGACAAGAATTCTTTCAACTCAGAAATGCGCTCCTATAAAATTTTTCTACACTGCATCGCGACTAAAATTAATCTCACAAAAAAAAANAAAAAAAAACGGAAGATATTAATCGTTATGAATATCTCTACTACTTTTTTTTCTACTTTTTACTTTTTATTACCCGCACCATTCGACTCTCCCGACACTTCCATTCCAACAGTGATCTCATGCTTTGGCAATTTCCTATTTTACTAACAGTTAGGGAGAAGCTGTAGTGACAAGTGGTGTACTGTAATGGGTCGCGATCGCATTCCTGATCACTATCCGCCCAGGCCAGCCGAGCCCATTAAATAGGCGTTCAGTATGCCTCTACGATTGTGAATGAAAATCGAATGCGGGGATCCCTTCCAAAGACTGGATTGATTAACGCCACTCCAAAGACGGGATTGATTAACGCCAAGGAACTTATCCTTCAACAATTTTATGATATTGGAGAACTCTTTTCCGACATGTTTCGAATGTGGGTAAAAAGGTATTTCATAGGCCTTCTCATGAAGAAGTTGCGTCTGTGTTGCACTTGAGAGGTATGGTAGAGAAGAGAGAGAGTTCATGTTTCGTGGGAAAAGCGAAGCAAAGTACTAGTCGAAATTCAAGGAAAACTCTCTGCTTCAAACAATAATTTACGTCAAAGTCTCCAACATTTCCACGTTTTTACTTAACCTCTCAACATCACATACCAATTTGAAAAGCTCTTAACTTGTCAACACTATGCTCTTGTATAAATTACAGAGATTACAAACTAGAGTACAATGATAAAACGCTACTCTGCAACAGGGGTCAGAATTGAAAGATGTGTAGGCACAAAAAGAGCTTACCTCTCGTCTGACTTCATTTTCCCATATATCGCTGGAGAGGTAAGCGTCGTCGGGCGTGTGAGATTTCTCAAGGAAAACGAATAGGTCGCGAAATCTGTAACGACAGTTTCATTGGAAAATGAAAACCCTTCAAGTACCCTCTTGAAAAAGTCAACAATCACAACTCTATTGCTATCGTAAACCAGAGAGCACTTCACGACTCTACCAAAAAACGATGAGATGACTGCAAAACTGTGACGTTCGCAGTTAACAAAAAACTAAAATATCAAGCATCGGGTTTTCCGAAAAGAGCACTTCACAATACACAAATACTAAATCCAATAAAACCGAAACCTGCCGTGGTGCTCAAAAACTCACTTGTTTCTGTAGCTAGATAATAGTTGAACGCAAAGGTTAGAGTACTGCCAATATCCATTTTCTAGTCGACGGGTATAATCAGCAACCTGAAGGGAATATTCGTGCATTGAACCTTCGCATGCTAGCGCAACCCATAGAAGACTAGGATAACTTACGAAAATTAAATAAAAACCTTAGACTTCAAATCACCAATCAACCATACCTCTTGATTCCTCTTGGAAAACTTGAGAGATAGTCCTATATTAATTCTTTCTGGAATTTTAGGCAAATCTTTTGATTCTGAAGAGCGCTCATGCAAGAGAAACACTGTCCCCGTGATCCTCGATAGCAAGCGTCCGTCGACTAAAATTTTCAGATAAAAGGAATATTACAGAAGCGCGACACCATTTACCTCCAATCCTACGGCCAGCGTCATAACTGCTCATCCACTGCAGGCTCAAATTATCGTAGGATTCAAGTATAGGGCTTAGATCGACAGTGGGCCAAATCGACACTGTCAAACGTACTCTTCCTGGAAATGACAATGTATATCTGATGAAAAACACTGCAAAAAAAGGACTGATACCGTCTTTAAGGAAATCAGACAGGTGTTTTCTTGCCATAACTTACGTCGCAGTTTGTAACTTTAGCCAGTACTTTAGATTTTTAAGTATACTGCCACCAATAAATATGGGAAATTTACCTATTAAGTCAGTTCAAAGAATTGAACTATGTACTATTATTAAAAATGAAAATGTGACTATCCACAATCGAACATTTCGCAGCAAAGCAGAGGGCATCTATGACACCTCAGAANTTTTTTCGAGCCCCAACACAGGGGTTCACCGATGTCCAGGTCACGCGACTGGATGGGCCAGTCGAGATTCAAACTTTGCGGATCAAAATAATTTCTTATAGCGGAATTTAATAAACCGCATCTATGGTTCGTAGAGGAATGATAGAGCATGAAACAAATGCTGCCAAAAAAGCACATCCAGCAGGATACGAGAAAGGATAGGAACTTGGGAAAACTCTAGGCTTTAAAATTTACTCCATTAGTAGAGAATATAGTGCCAGTTGGCGTAGGGGTTCGTTCTGTTCAATGATTTCGGTCGGTATATTTTTTGAAAATGGAAAAAATACCATCATTATCTACTGCATCGACAAGAGCTGGATACCCGAAACCTTCCCATGATGGAAGCATAGCGAAAACCTGAAACTACCTATTATTAACAAACGTGAAAAGAAGCATTAGATTATTCTGACCTTTGAGAGTTTTGGATAAGCTTCTGACACAGGAATGTTCCGCAAACTTCGACCGCAGTCAACTGTCACATTCTAGAATAGATATTGTAATGCAGTACAGGAATACGAAAAACCGATTGGTTGAGGAATATAGTACCGTGACAAGGAGAGGTAGTAGAACCGGGACAACCGTGTTCGGCCCATACCATTGTTTTTGAGGTCGGAGAGTTCCCTCTTCAACTATGTAAGTGATACCGACAAAACGGCGCACGAACACAATAGAACGCGACTGATTAGCGTCAATGCCAAATCGAGAAAGCATTCTGAACAATGGACATTCGCAATAAGTTTTCTACTACGACCAGAATGAACAACAAGTCGTTACCTTTCTTTCTCACTATTTAATATTGATCCCATCACCTCTTTCTCTTCGTCGGTCAAGCTAACCTCATTGACATCTCCGAGCTCGTTGCGTGTGTATTTGAAACCATTNGTTATCTTACCTTCAAGATTGGCCAATCTATGCAGACCTCCTTGTCTATTATATCTCTCGCAAGGATCAACATATCCTAAAATACTACAAGCGATGAAGAAAAATGGCGGCTTCAGGCATTTGCCCTTACCTTCTCAAACTCTTCTCTCTTTTTGATTGTTAGAACCATCGATGCTCTCTTCGATTCTTGTTGGAAAACTTTAACATTTATCTGAAAAATAAAGAAAAGTGAAAATTAGACCGCACACATTGAACTTTTTCAGCAGAAAAATAATATCCTTCACCTGCTTGAGTTCGGCAGAATGCGGTAGATGTTTCATTGTAGGAAAGCCGGGGAAGTATACGTCCAACTTCACATTCGGTAATAATCCCCAAACGACTTTCTGAGGTTCCAGATAGAACGAATCCACCGGAAGAAGAACGGGCCTTAACAGCAATGATGGTGGTAGCAGCTGCTTCAATGATGGTCTATTCCCGTTTCCTCAGGGTGATCGTAGTCGAATTTTCAGTATGCAAACGACCAAAAACTAGCTTGGAAGGCTGAGCATTGGTTGCGGGTATCCATGGCATATTGACCCTTAAGTTTATTAGCCTTCCGAATTTTTCTCGACTTTTTCTAAATGCGAAGCATTCGATAAGGCGAATGGCATTCCATGGCTATACTGCCTTCTGCCCCAACTATTCGAATAATTGGTTTCTTTCCGTAAAAGCTTACAAACTTCCAAAGTTTCATAGGATCTTGTGAAACACTTATAGAAATCACATGCACGAAGAAAGATTATAACCTTAGAAGAAAGATTATAACCTTACTTAGTTGCTTCAAGAGAGCAGTAGAGAAGAATGTTTCCAGGAGTATTTCTAAGCTTTTCTTCCTGTGTGAGAAGAGGTATCTGTAATACAAAAAGTCCACTCTTCTAAAAAAAACTACTCCTCAAAAGTACAAAATACCTTGCTTTCCATAGCAGATAAAAGTCTTTTTTCATCAATAAAAGGAATTAGCACGACTGCTTCCCAGTCGTTTTTCTTCCCATTTAAATCAGTACGGAAATCGGTTGGGTAGAAATCGGAAATAGGGGATTCCTTATTGCACATCAAATCCTTAAAATGGTATTGCGTTTCCAAGATGTATCATTTCATTTTCGAAGAGTATGAGAAATGATCGAACGTCCAATGTACCCTGAGAGGCTGAGGAAGACATTCAGCACTAGCAGTAGGTAGCACGGCTAACAGTTGCTCAAAAGGTTTGAATGGCTGGCCCAGCTCAAAACTCATATCCATATCAGAGAAATCAACAACATCCGAGATATACGGTGAATAGTGATGAGGGTAAAACCTGAACACACTCTTTACAACAGTCTACTTAGAATATAACCTGACAGAAGCACTAACCAATTCCATGAAACACATCCTCGGTAATAGTAATGCAGGTTCCACTGTATAGCTCTCACATATCCTTCTGCTTGTTGACGAAGCTCAGTTTTCGTTATATTTTCATACCTTGAAAATACACTTTACTGAGACAGTCCCCTCGAAAGCTTTGAATGTAAACACATTCGTAAATCACGTACTGGTTCGGTTATACCTACGAATTGAGGTATTGAATCTTCACGTATTTTTGCTTGCAAACCAAAAATTCGCGGCCATGATTTATTTTATTCTGTGTACCTTTAATTTCAGTCAAGTAGCTTATACTCCTATACCGCTTCATGCTACGAAAAGGGTATTTTTGCTCCATAACATGGACGGAAAATTATAGTGTCAGATTTCGATACAGCTACTGGTATCTTTTACATGGTCATTGACGCAAAGCAAATGCGAAAATATAAGAAACCACGGGGTTCAGATGCGAATGGGTGCACACTTATAGTTGCATGATGCTTGGAAGCACATTAGATCCTCTAAATTTATGGAGAACGAGACTTACTGAAGCTTTTCACGATAGTACGATCGTTTGTGTCGACGAAAAGAGTTACTCACAGTTTTGGTCCAACAGTTCTAAATAGAAAATATAAGAACCTCTCGCGCTTAACTTAAAGCCAACAGCGTACCTCAACATCGTTTTCAAACAGTTTATCGTCCATTTCTCTCAACTCGGCTGCCATGAGAGCTTCACAAAGTTCACTTTCCTCCTGATCATCGTCTAAACCCTACTATTCTATGAAAACGTCACAATCAAAAATTTAAACATACTTATCACAAACCAACCGCTATTAAGATGAGTCAAGAGATACGATGCAGATGGGAGACCACCGTCAGGAATTCGATTAGCGGCTTCAGCAGTATCTTCCTCTTCATCACTGCTAACGAAAGCAGCCTCATCCAGCAGTGAATCTTCAGTTGTTTCGTCACGCTCATCGTTCGAATCAGTGCTGGACAGAGATGACTCTTCGGTATTTTGACCATGCTAAGAAAGAATTTCGAACAACTTGAGATTTTCCTAAAGAAACAGGTAAATAATGCATACTCCTTCCACTGGTTCTTGACACCTCTTGCTGCGGAGGTAGCTCTCATCCTCCATTATTTGCAGGAAATGTTTACGATCATTCGCAGCGAAAGCTTTCAAAAACACTTCGAAGCGCTTCAAATGTAAAATTCCAGACTCATTTATGTAACCTATAATGAGACATAATGAAAGTTTTCCTCAAGGAAAAATCTGAAGGGAACTGGTCAAATCCGATAATATCGGAAAAGCGGGTAATGAGTAGGTACGGAACATCGTAAAAAAAAACAAGCATACCATCTAATGTTGGTAGGATCTGAATATATGTTTGGTATAGTAGAGGGAGAGCATCGTCATGAATGTGAACATGCGGAAGATGAGGAATAAAGTCATTTCCGACGAGAAAACCCATTAAAACCCAGTCGTCCACTATTCGGTCGACGTCATAGGGAAATGGTAAAGATGCCTACAAATAAAGCAGGTGTTTTTCAAAGTAGATGATATCAAATAGCTAGTAAACCTTCAGAGGATCGAACTCCCATGATAGATACTCCCTCAGAAGAGAAAGATGAAGTAAATGAAAATTGGTCTGAGATGGATTCGCCCTGAAAGTGGACAAGACATTGTTGAAAGACTTCACAATCACATCATATGTAATCCAAAACCTTTGAGCAGATCCAGCTCCACTCTTTTTTGATGGAGGCCGGCTGAACTTCACTTCTTCTCGTAGTAATGAGAAGTGAGGCTCGTGTGAGCATATGCCAAGCATCAACTAAAGACCTCGATCGTGTGACTACTGTAATTTAACATAGAGCAAAAAAGACCTACCAAGTCAGCGTCAAGTCCATACATACAATGCCGAGTATTAGGGTCATATCCATCTGCAATTCTCTCATGTCGAATAAATTCCATTATTTTATGTTCTCCTTCACCAGGGCACTGAAGAATTTTGTAGAGAGTAAGATAATCTCTTCAATACATAATCATCACCAACTATTAGCATTCACAACATTCGTCGTGAACAGGTTTTATACTGGAAGGGTAGTGATCAAGTGAATTGAAATAATACCAACATCATGTCCTGATAGGTAGACTCGTATATTATGCCACAAAGGATCTTTATCTATTTTGACATTCAACCAGGATGAGAGTGCTTGGTGAAGCTCCGCCATAAAAACTGTGCCTAAAATCAGAGAATACTGATTAATCGAAATAAATATTCTTGATGACGCTCAGGACCTTGATTCCTTTCTCAGTTATTTCTCAATTCACGAGCATTATTTAGTATCCTGCTAAAACATTTCACCTGCCTCCCCAGATCCGAAGACCAAACGCTATCACTTAGTATGAAGCTTGTATGTTCACTGGGAATAAAGCACACGTCTTAGAGCATTCTCAAGCTGTTACAGTTCGTAACGAACGAAAAACGAAAATGAGAGAAGGGCAAGCTTTCGACAGCCACAGGGTTTTACTCTATTGCATAACATATATGTGCTTATAGCAACACATAGGAAAATGTGAGTTCGAACCAACCTGGAGTGATACAGTTGGAGTCGAATCGCTTTTCGGTGGGTAATTTTCCCCCTTTTCGCACATGAGCTTGTTCCTGCTCAGCGGCAGTACGAGCTGACCTTCAAGTTGACAAGTGTACAAGATCAGATCATATCACTCATAAATGATCAAATAATTAAGGGGAAAACGAACATGAATCTCCTAGCACGCTGCTGATTCATCTTGGCTCTTGGAGCAACACCATCGACAGCCAAGAAAAACACCTTTTGGGGTCGAATAATATTGAACAACTTCTGAAACGACTTATTTAAATATATCACGTACACTCGAATGTAAAAGGCCAAAGGGAAATCTTACATCAATGTAGGCAAAAATATCACAGAAAATCTGTTCTTGCGAGATCCTGAAGTTCACATCATCGTCATTAGGGTGAGAGCAATTGTGTATAATTCCATTCATGTCCAGGTACAGATTATCAAATTCGGGAATCTGAATGAACAGACAACTTGGATTTTATAGGGACTACTAGAGAAACGTTGAAAAAAAACAGAATTTCTCAACTTACAAGGTCATCCCAACCTTTTCAAGACATAGGAGACAACTAGGATTTTATAGGGACTTTTATAGGATACTTATAGCTATACTTCTAGAGCTTGCAAAGAATTCTTAAAAGCATAAGCCTTTTGCTAACAGCCCGAAAAGTGCTGCTGAACAGAACTACGATCAAGTTAGAGAGCGAGAAAAGAGGAGATGATGAGTCCGCCCTCACATCATAGATAGGAAGAAGACAGCAACGGAAGAACTAAGCAAAAAGTTCAGATGCATCGCTTCATAATTCAATTCTATCTGAGTGGGTCATGAGCCCTTCTCGATCCGGGCTAGGTGAGAGGTAGATGTTTAGTTAAGGAATCGAGAAAACGAAGAGGTCGCGCTCACGATTCGCTTACTAATTCCCAATGCATTTGTTACCACTAGCAATTGAACCCGTGAACAACTTGTAGCTCGTGAACAACTCCGAGCATTATTCAAGCGGGACCAAGTCACGAATTACATCAATTATACCATCATCATCCCAAGTTCTCGAGTAAACAGAACAGTTGATGCGATCAAGATGTATATGAGCATAGGGAAATAAAAAGAAAAGGAACCTCTGTATCACTGATGACTTCGCTCAGGCATGGATACCTCTCCGATATCCATCGATAAAACTTTGGTACTCCCATCCTGAAAAAAGGGAAAGTGAAAATATCGCCGAAGTGGAACCACGTGAAAAAAGAAAGCAGGATGATCATCGAAAAAGGCACGCAAGAATCACGGGACCATTCATATTACCGAAACAATTACACATAACAGATAGTATACATTAAACCAGCTTCCATGATCCTGCAGAAGGCGAATGAGTTCTGGGCTTATTTTCCAATGATTGTTCATTTAGCAGAACTGCAATCGATCCAATATTTACTACGTGGCAAAAAATCTGCTGGAAAAAAGCACAAACGCGAAAATTTCAACGAGCACTTTTGATCGATTCAGTTCTTGCTACGTAGTTGGTGACGGATCTGCAAAAATGTAGACCCTCCACCATGAGCGCTTGCTCATAAAGATTTCAGGAGAGCAGAAGATATAGGTTGTAAACAAACTCGAAAACATGTTAGAAAACCCGCTGTAGCTTTAACAGACCAGTGTTCGGTCTTTATAAAATCTCCGCGTATTGATTAGTGCCTCACAGGTTTCTATAGTGTATCCAGGGCATGGGATCGCTTCTTCGTAGAAAAAATCGTAGACTCCAAACACCCGAAATTGGCTCGGAATTGATCTATAGCTTATCCGAACAAGCAGGAAATCAGAAATTCAGAAGTGGATTGTAGTAAAATAAACACACCAGTACGAGTTAGTTACTCGACCCATTCACAAACACAAAACTAAGCGTAACAAATCAAGAACAACAAGTGTCGTTAGTGTAAAGAGTACACAATTTCTTCACTAACGAAAGGCACGCCAGATCTTTCGAATAATTACTGAACGGTATCCACATTAGGGACAGAGGTGGTGTAGTGGCACGTGGCGCACTTTCACACTAACGATTAACAGTCCGGATCACGAATCGATACTGCCCCGGGTCAACCAAACTCCCTCCGAGGCCGGTTTTCTGGACAAATAGGTATTCGAAAGCCATCACGATTCTCGATACAAGCCGAATATTGGGGCGTATCTTAAAACGGGATTGATTGAAGTCAAAGACCTTAGCCCTTATTCTTACACCACATCAGAGGCAAAGAACGTTCAAGTGACACGGCATAACCATTCAAATATTGTGAAATGGTTAAACGACAAAGCGAAACGGCTGTCAACAGAAGTGCCCTCAAACTAACAACACTTTCTTCACCATCACTATTCCTTATAATAGATTTCGAAAACAGTAGGACTCAAAACAGTGAAAACAAATAATGTGATTATTTACATAGAGTGTAAATTGCTATTGATAAACCCAAATATAACTGCGGCGTCTGCGTGTTCTTCTAGAGTTCGAGCGCGATATTCGACAGAGCTGTTGGAGAGGTTGATGTGTTCTATGCTCGAGCAAACGAAACAAATCTGATTGCACAGCTGACGACCACTATTGGAGTAGCCGAGACCTTTGATATACAAACAATTCTTCCCGTATTTTGCTCGAGGAAAGCCTTTTTGGAAATGTTTTCAGGGAATACTATAATCGATGTTATAAGTACTTTTCTTCCTTTAAAAGGCAAAAAGTGTTGTTTTTTTCAAATTAAGGTTTTCATCGGATTCGAGAGAACCTTACCAGTTACACAATTCAATGCTGAGGATAAAGGAGAAGCCTTTGGCGTTAATCGATTTTGTTTTTCAGATATTTACTCGTATTCGACTTCCATTCAGAACTGTCGTGGCGTGCACAGTGGAATGAGAGTGTCTAGCCGATGAACAAGTCAGGACTCTCATATCCCAGACGAGTCTGGCACCGTCTACTGATCCCGGGGGATGAAGCTTAGCTTTCCTAGAGGGTATCGGCCCAATATTTGATTTCCAGACCATACGTACGTGATATTGTAGTGCGCCACTTGCAGCTACACCACCTCCACCCTGACTTTTATAACACGGTAAGATTCAAAAGCATGGCGTCAGTATTGGAAATGGAGGAAGAAGAGTGGGCTGGAACAAGAGGAGTTCATAGGTAAGGTAGTGGGGGCTTCTGATGGAAATACTCCGATTCGAAGTTTTCTATTTCAAACCATATCTTTGAAGCAGCACATCATCCAGAATCAGGCGGAATGAGCATACATAGAGGAAAACGGGTGGAAGTAGGGTAAGCCATTTGTTGTTATCAACACCAACATGTGTCCCTCGTTCGCACACTGCCCTCCCCAAACAATCCTAACGTCCAGCTGGGTGGTGGGGCACTTGGAATGAACTGAATATGTTATGAAATAATTTGTAAACATGAAATTTTTGAATTGGATGGTGACGTCAGTTTATTAACATGACCGCTGTACAAGTACAGAACGGATTGTCACGTGTTTTGACGCGTTGAACGTGGCTGACTAGTAAAAACATGTTATGGTCATCCCTTTTAAGCCGTCGCACAATGGCCTGTTTCTAAGAAATGGGAGTTTTCGAAGCCTGCGAATTTTAAAATCAAGATTTTACATTTACATTTACATTTTAAAATCAATTAATTTTAAAATCAATTAGTATGGGGAGTGGGTAATCCCTTTACTGTACAAATGCCCTTTGATAGTGTTTCTTCAATCAACTAAACTGTATGTGATTACTGTTACTACAGTACAAAATCCTGAAATCTGCTGAAACTGCTGTTTCAAGATCTCTTATGGAACGGAAATATGATTTGCAGAAATCGCCATCGTTCAGCCATAATTTGATGAATGACTGCAGGCCAGAGACGTTGCGTTGGCACACTGCCAACCTCCAGCGCCTCTTGGCCACGCCCAACCTATCACGGTGTACCGATACGGGTCATTTGCTTGCGGTGGCGGGGTGGCGAAGGGGGGGGGGACGACGGACTTCGGACGTCGACAAGTCGGCTATGTTCCAGCACAAATTCTTAATGCAGCCGATATTTCCTCTTTGGAGGTAAAGATAAACAAGCTCGTAAACAGAATTTCCATGTCGATATCTCTACCTAGCACGACGAGTGTTGATCCATCATCATCATGGTTTACAGTTGTCGCTGTAACGCTAATCCCGGTCTCGGACGAATTTCTTCGAACAGCATCAACGCTTTCGAGAGTATTTATGAAAGTTCACCATAATTTGTATGTCTTCAGTACTGAGAGGTGAGATTTATGTACTGAACTCACCAATCCGGTAAGTCTCGGTAAGTCCTTTCTTTATTCAGATTGATTCGAGATTAGTGTCATCAGTGAAAATGCATAGGTTAACAATAACAAGAAACCCATAAGAACGTTTTTTTTTTGTGACAAATTTGAGGCATAGCAAGTTTGAAAGAAAACAGAGTTTCTAAAAGTAAACTGGGATGGTTATACATGAATCTCTTAACGTCTAATCTTTCGATTCCGTCGTGGATGTTATTATTTGTGACGGGCAGTTCTTCGGAAACGGAAGCCAGTTGACTGTACCAAGCAAATGAAGTAAAAGTATTATTGACGTCGTCGTTGTAACCAGTAGCAGAACAAGTAGAATGATTATAATGCATACAGAGCATCTCTGCAATAAGTATATTCATGAGGATAATGGGGAAGTCTTTGGCGGTAAACAATGCCATTTGGGATGCGCCCCCGCATTCGACTTCCATTCAGAATCGAAGTGGTGGTTTGGATGCGAATGTGGCTTGTACAATGACTTGGTGGTGGCCAGCCAATGCAAAATCAGCGTATTTATCTTCCTAGACGAGTTTGGTGCCAGTTACCCGACACTGGAGGAATGGAATGCCTGGATGGCCTGGGCTAGTATCGATTTGGGATTCGATGCCCGGACGATCATGTGTAAAAGTGCGCCACTTTCAGCCCTCCGCCCAATTCTAATCATACAAAAATATAATGGTCTCAGTCTTATGCCATAACTTAGGATGAAGTCGGGCGACGTGAACACCAGTATGGCTCGGGGAACAAATATTACTTCATTTCTTGGAACTTCGGCTAGCCAAGTACTCCATTATTTCAAAGCTGGCCTTTAAAAATTGATTGGGAACAGATGTCATGAAGCACACACATAAACCCCCAAGGATTCCGGTTTGAGCCACCGATCGCTATTTGGCATCAATTTTTTTTACTCCAAAAGCCCCTTTTAAAACTTATTTGTAAAGCCAGACGAAACTAGTACACCGAGTTTCTGGAGAAGCCAGTGAGAAAAAGCTTGGCAATTAATCAGGCAGGTAAGATCTTACCGAACACCGTGATCGAGAACTAGTTGATGATCCTTGGCTTTTACTTTGACTTTTTGGCTTTTTTGATCTTTTGAAGAAATTTTTAATCCTTGCTGATAGACCTAAAATAAAATGCATGAGCTCAAATACTAGCTCGACAGATGTTTTCGAACCTCTACAAACTATTCAAATTCTAAATAAAATAAATATATAAATAAATATTCAAATTCTATTTTCGAGGGGCGTGGTGCATTAGGAACGAAATGGTCGCGTCGCGGTGAGAGGAGCGTCGCGCGCGAAAGGATGTAGCAGGATGCAGCAGCAGGTAGGAAATACAAGAACAAAAGTACTAATAGAAGAATTATGCATAAAATAATGATCGCATATCGATTGAGCTGTATGAAGAACGCTAAAGCTGTAATTACGGCGAATGAGTGGTCCGCGACAGCCGCGTGCGGCGAATCGATTACTCAAAATCGTTCCTAACGCCCGTCTCCCACGTAAGTGGGACTCTCTGCTGAGAAACACTTGCTGCGATGTTATTTGGGCCGTACTTCTGCGAACCTACCATTAAAAATTAGTTATCTCACCTTTAGGACTAATCAAAGTTGGCCTTCCAGAAAATTCCGAGGATAGATCCACATCGTCTCCAGCACTAAAATGTTCATAATTGTAATACCGACAATAATCTACGACGTGACTTCGAAACTGTGCGATCTTCTTTTTTTATGTATTAAAGTATGGGTAAAGCGCATTCTGAAAGTAAGGGAAGTAGATCGTGCTCCTTCTAATCACGACAAGTGCTATTACCTTAGTTCAAACATTGGAGCTACCGTCATTTTTTATCGTGACACCTTACCCAAGCGGTTCGAATTTAGACTTCATAGGACTGGGGTTCATAGGCCATTGTATACTGGATGCACCTTGGTTTTTCACCAGTTCTTTGGAGCCAATAGCCATTTTTCTTCCTTAAATAGCTGTAGATAACTGAAGGTAGCTTTCACTTCCCGTTTTCTCCCTTCCGACTTTAAAGGTGGCATTTCCATCGGGTGTGATCCTTAAATGAGGACTGCTGTCTCAGGAGAGTGGCTTGGCAGTGGTCGTCGCTGTACGACTATGTCACCATTTTAACTACTTCTGCGTTCCAGCGAACCATGAAAGTTGTCTATCGCCAGGAAAACTGTTGGAAAGACGGGACATCAAGCAACAGAAAGGTCGCGGTCTACTGATTTGTAGCTTGAATCATCCAAGTGGCACTTGAAAAGTCACTGCCGCCGACGCGTAAAATCGATGCGGTGAATATCTAGTAGAAGGGTAGGGGGTGGGGATGTATGGGTGGCGGAACTTTCTCCGAATTCCCACGGCCAGCCGGCAGTGGTTCCGCGGCGGCTGCCGTATCCTCCCACAAGGAATTCAAACCTTCCCCTTCTAGCGCGTCATCTAAGGCGGCGAGCGCGACATGCCGTTCGGGGAGAAGATACCAGACCCCCACTTATTGTGATGATAACTATTATATTTGAGTCCTCCTCTATATCACATTCCCACTCGAGGTCAGTACGCCCTTGGGCATGGGCAAAGAACGAAATCTCTTGGCTATGAATCGTTTCTGAGCACAAGTACAGGTCCACTATCAACGCGCCCCATCCTTCTTCGCGTTCTAATCCTTGGTATCAGACGCGCGGAGCAGTGGTGAAGTGTCCTTCTCTTTCGTTCTCCCAACTACATTTCATCATTGATACCCTTCAGCCCAGCAGCATCACACTTCCGCTCTCCTACTTCTACACTTTAAGCCCGCCAGCGATCACCCGCTCTTTTGAACTGGAATTGATTCGATAATTACCAAATCAATGAAGGAGTACGTGCTGAAGCGAAGTTCTAGGTGTACCTGGAGGGACTCCACAGTGCGCTACATGGGTGTTCTACCTGAAATCTCAACCGCATTGGTTTCGCGCCTATTACCGTAGTGTTCCTCTGAAAGTCAATTCTTTTCCCTCACAGCGCACTATCGGACGCGCCGGGGGCGTCACGCCATTCGGGTAGAAGAGCCCATGGCTGCTTTCAGACTTAAACGATTCAACCAACGTCCGTCCGCCCCTCCTTTGCGTCCGTTGCGTCCGTGCAGCGACGGCGGCGCTAGGCAGGATTGGACAACATTGGACGCCAATGGATCATGTGATGGTGCTGTCAACACTTGTTTAGTTAGCTCCGCCGTCGCAGCAAGCACGCGACGGACGGACAGTCGTTGGTGGAGTCGCTGAAGTTTGAGAGCAGACCATACCCGCTCTGCGTCTTTGTCATCAAAGACTGGGACGTAAGGAAGTATAAGGATATGCGGGCTTGTTGTGATGCTTACGAGGATTCTGAACGCGAGGGATGTGTAGTTTTTTGGATGCTAAGTGAGTTGGGAGGGGCCACGCGGCGGCGCGGCGCCTTTTCATGTCTGCGCCCTCTCCAGCGAGATAGTAGTACTAGGCCTGAGTCTGGGAAGGGATGGTGAGGTTGTACTGAAGTGCTTCATGATTCAAAACAAATTACCTCTTGGCACATGTTATATGCTTGCATATTATGAATACTCTTCTTCTGAGCCGATAAAACCCTATTTTCAGGAAGGGGAGGGGCTTTGGGGTGGGTGAGATTGTTATCTCGTGCAAAAAGCTGAGATGAGATAAAAGCTGAACGTCCAATTGGCTCAACCCCGGAGCCCCTCCCCTTATTAAAATTAGGTGAAAAATACGCAGTCATAACATAAAAGAGCTATGAAATGTCCCTAAACACCATTACGGGCTCGCCTACCCTTCCTTGCCTACTATCTCGCCGGAGAGGGCGCAGACATGAAAAGGCGCCGCGCCGCCGCGTGGCCCCTCCCAACTCACTTAGCATCCAAAAAACTACACATCCCTCGCGTTCAGAATCCTCGTAAGCATCACAACAAGCCCGCATATCCTTATACTTCCTTACGTCCCAGTCTTTGATGACAAAGACG